CCCCTGGAGGAATCGGGGGGCCAAGGTGAACGTCTCCCTGGAGGTAGGGCATTCCTGCCAGGAGAGGATGGTCTGATCTCCTGAAGAAATACCAGACAACCCAGAGTATGGGTCACCCTTTAGAATTTGAGGCCATTATACTATTGAGGACAAGACTATTGAGGACAAGAAGAAGAAGTAAGAAGGAATATTCCAGTCTAGAGGAGACTGAAGAAATGTCACAGTTGGATGTAGCTCATCTTTCCTGGAGATTCTGGACCAGGGGAGAAGAGAGACTCTGTGGCGACAGCTGATGGGATGGTAGACCTGTGTCAGTGTGAACGCCTGGCCTGAGCTGTGGGTGGTTTTGTAGAACTGTGTTCTTGGTTTTCTAGGGATGCTAGGGCACCACATAGGTAACATGCTCAGTGGTTCAGGGAAATACCAATGATGACAGATAGGGAGCAAATTAACAAAATGTTAACAGTTGGGGAATCTGGGTAAGGGAGACACAGGAGTTTTTTTTTTTTTTTTTTTTTTAATACTATTCTTACAATTTTTTGTGTGCTTGAAGAATTTTCAAAATAAATTATTAAAAAAAACAAGTTGGATGCTCATTTTACAACATACCTCAAGATAAACTCCAAATAATTTAGAAGGTAAACATTAAAAACTAGAAGAATTCTGTTCTGTGAAAGATAATGTCAAGAGAATGCGAGAACAAGCCACAAATGGAAGAAAATATTTGCAAGACGCATATATAGCTGATAAATAAATTCACTAAAAAAAAAAAAAAAAAGACAACAATAAAAGAAATATCCGGCCAGGAGCAGTGGCTCAAGCCTGTAATCCCAGCACTTTGGGAGGCTGAGGCGGGTGGATCACGAGGTCAAGAGATCGAGACCATCCTGGTCAACATGGTGAAACCCCGTCTCTACTAAAAAAAATATAAAAAATTAGCTGGGCATGGTGTTGCGTGCCTGTAATCCCAGCTACTCAGGAGGCTGAGGCAGGAGAATTGCCTGAACCCAGGAGGCGGAGGTTGCGGTGAGCCGAGATCGCGCCATTGCACTCCAGCCTGGGTAACACGAGTGAAACTCCGTCTCAAAAAAAAAAAAAAAAAAGAAATATCCAAAATAAACACAGGACTCTTAAAACTCAACAAGATAACAATCCAATTTTTAAAATGGGCCAAATACCTTAACATACTTCAGCAAAGAAGATATGCAGATGAAAAATCGGGATAAGATGCTCCTAGTCATATGTTATCAGCAAAATGTAAATTAAAAAAGCAAGATACCAACACACACCTGAGATGCCCAAAATCCAGAACACTGACAAATGCTGGTGAGGATGTGGAGTAACAAGAATTCTCATTTGTTGCTGGTGGGGATAGGAAAAGCTGCTGACAGTTTGGAAGGTAGTTTGGCAATTTCTTTCAAAACTATACACCCTCTCACCATCTGATCCAGCATTCACATGCCTTAGTATTTACCAAAGGAGCTGAAAACATGCCTACACAAAATCTCACATGGACATCTATAGCAGCTTAATTCATAATTGCCCACACTTGGAAGCAACCAAGATGCCCTTCAGTGGGTGAATGGATAAACTATCCAGATCATGGAATATTATTCAGTCACTAAAAAAATGAGATAGCAAACCATGAGAAGAGATGGAGGAACCTTAAGTGTGCACTGCTAAGTGAGAGAAGCCCATCTGAGAAGCCTACATTCTGTATGATTCCAACTCCAGGATGGTCTGGAAAAGGGGGACAATAAAAAGATCAGTGGCTGCCAAGGCTTGGTGGGAGGTGGGGGAGAGACGAACAGGTGGGGCACAGAGGATTTTTAGGGCAGCGGCATTATTCCATATGCTACAACAATGGAGAGGCGGAATACATGTCACTACTTGTTCAAACCCATAGAACGTACAACACCCAGAGTGAACCCTAGTGTAAACCATAGGCTCTGGGTGATAATGATGTGTTGATGTAGGACCATCAGTTCTAACAAATGAAGTGCTCTGGTGGAGGATGTGATGATGGTGGGGGTGTGCATGTGTGGAGTCATGGGGTATATGGGAAATCTGTACCTTCCTTTCCATTTTTCTGTGAACCTAAAACTGCTCTACACCCAATTAGAAGATAGTGATTGGCTGGGTGCAGTGGCTCATGCTTGCAATCCCAGCACTTTGGGAGGCAAAGCGGGCAGATCACTTAAGGTCGGGAGTTCAAGACCAGTCTGGCCAACATGGTGAAACCCCATCTCTGCTAAAAATACAAAATTAGCCGGGTGTGGTGGCACACACCTGTAATCCCAGCTACTCGGGAGGCTGAGGCAGGAGAATCGCTTGAACCTGGGAGACGGAGGTTGTGGTGTGTGAAAAAAACCTCCCTAAGCATAAGAACCTATGAAATAAGAAGGATAATAACAACAGATTTGAGTACATAAAAATATTAAGTCTCTAAAATTCAAAGGTCAAATATGAAATTACAAAGCAAAGTGGGTAAAAGGTTAATATCCTGCACATAGGGACTTCCACATAAACAACAAAGGAATAAAGCAGATAATTCATGGACAAAACACAGAGGAATAAGTTTAAAACATTTGGAATCATTAACAGTCATATAAATGCAATCAAAATGACTATTTCCTTTCAGATTGGCAGAGAGGAAACGAAACAGACACGGTGGGTGTTCTGAGCATGTCCAGGGAGCCCTCAGCCTGCTGGAACAGAAACAAGCTGGCCCTTCGTAACTCAGCATATACTGGAAGCGCTTAGAGAGTTGGTGTGTTCCCTGTGCCTTCTAGAATCGAATGCTAGGAGGAACATCCAGTGAGGACAGACGTCTACATAGAAACATAGTGAACATCCAGTGAGGACGGATGTCTACGCAGAAACATAGTGAACCTCTGGAAACCACACACTCCGGGAACAGGGGGCTTAGACAAGGTGAACCGTGGGATGGAACAGAAAGAAGCTGTTAGACCTGGCCCCGTGGGAAGACGCAGGAGACAGTGTGTGGGGAGATGGCCTGTGATACTGAGGCTGAGGTGGTAATGGAGGTGTTCACCTTGAAAACAGACCAGCAATTCAAAGCCAATTACCAGGAAGCAAATCCAGTGACATTATTTTTGTTTAAAACCAAGAGGACATAGAATGCAAAGGAGCCAGTTTTCTTCTGTGACATCTGAACATGGTCATCAGGAGCTTCTCCCTGGAAGGACTCAAAAGCTGTACCATTTTGGTAACTACATAGCCTCCCATGCTGACCTGGTGGAAGGACCACACCTACCTGGGTAAGTTCTGACAGCTTTGATTAAAATGACCTTTCGGGGAATATATTTTAATTGATACGTGCATCGGTGTGAGGTATGGTTATGGGAAATTTTACTTACCCATGCGTCCATCTTGAGGTGGACTAATCACGGAGATTCTCGCAGGGCCGGCTGCTATCTCGGGCTAAGTATGAACAAGAAAACAAGGATAAAACTCCAATACTGTCACTTCCAAGATTCCAACTCCCACTGCTCATTTAGGAGCACATTCCCGGAACTCCATCTCCTCATCTTTATCGCCCTCTGACAAGCTCCATCCAGCTTGATTCCGTGTTCATCTCCCGACTGCTTGCTGGTGGTAAGGGGGGGGTGTGGTGGGTATTACCTGTTTTATTGCCTCTGTTCCGTCAGGGCCTAAAACAGTGAATGGACAAAGGACTCTACTAGGAATTTCAGGAGTAAAAAACAAAGTTTGCAGCTGAAGTTACAGAATGTGAAATCCTGAGTAAATCATCTTGGGTGCATAACTTTGTCACCTTGAAATTCACATGCTGATGGACAGGGTGGAGCTAATGCTGCGTGGCGCTGTGTGTGCTGGGCCCGGCTCTGTGCCCACCCTTCCCCCTGCCCAGCAACCACGAGGCTGCTGCTGCCACCATCCCTCCTCAACCCACAGGAACCTGTGAGCCTAGAGCTGCCAGCCCCGGTTCTGAGACTGGTGAGGGAGGCTGCTCTGCTCTGAGCCCCTCTTGTCTCTCAGTATGACCTATGGGCGTGGCAAGGTGCTTTCTTTCTTTTTTTTGAGATGGAGTCTCGCTCTGTGGCCCAGGCTGGACTGCAGTGGCACAATCTCCACTCACTACAACCTCTGCCTCCCGGGTTAAGGATTCTCCTGTCTCAGCCTCCTGAGTAGCTGGGACTACAGGTATGTGCCACCACGCTCAGCTAATCTTTTTGTTATATTTTTAGTAGAGACGGGGTTTCACCATGTTAGCCAGGATGGTCTGGATCTCCTGACCTCATGATCTACCCGCCTTGGCCTCCCAAAGTGCTGGGATTACAGGCCTGAGCCACCGCACAAGGTGCTATTTCTAGTGGCTGCCCCTCCCTGGGCTCACTCCTCCGGCTCTCCAGTCACTGCTGGCATCTCCTGTTCACAGGCTCTTTGCCTCACCCTGCTGGTCCCCAGGCTCTGCTGTCATCAACTGTGCCCCACCAAGACCTCTACTGCACATCTTCCTGGCTCCTGTCCCTGGCACAGCCACCCCACAGATCGTTTAACCCACAGGCCCTTCCAATATACCCTGGAAACCCCTCTGTGTCCTCGTGTCCTCTCCACCGGCACAGGAGTGCCCTGCTCCAGGGGCACTCTCTGCCACACCCTTGGCCCCACCCTGCCAGTCCTCTGCTCCTGTTCACTAGCAAGACTCTAACTTTGGAAGGACGGAGACCCCCACTTGGCATGGCCCTCTGTACTGCCTGTGGGCCAGCTTTCTCACGGAGCTGTCCACTGGGCACATTCCCCATCCACCTGAAGCTGACCTCATGACCTCATTCCTACCCCCACCAAGACAGAATCTTGTGAAATCGGGAGCTTTGTCTCTCTACCTTCAGCCTCTGCCTGCCACCCGTGAACATCAGACATGCTCCTGCCTCCTGGGACAGGCTCCAGGTACTTCCTCTCACCTGCCTGGAGTGCTGCTATGCCATCATTTCTGGATCCTTCCCACCTGCTATGATGTCTGCAACATTAAAGTCATCCTAAGAATCCCCGTGACATCACCACCCCTTTGAACTATGTTCCATTTGCCGCTCCATTTAGAGAACAGCTCCTCCACGGAGTGTTGGAGTGCTGGCGTCTCTCCCCGCCCAGGTGCTGCCTGACAGCTGTGAGGTGCAGGAGAGAGTGGTGCAAGCCTGTCTTTTCCATGGGCCATGGTGGACTTGGCTGGGTGCAGACACTGGTTCCTGCCGTGTGAGAGGAGCTGTGTTCCCATCAGCGTGCTCACATCTGCAGTCCTGGCTGCTTCAGCGCATGTTTGCTCTTTGGATTCTCCTTTAAACCAGTTGTCTATTTGACTGGCATATTAGGCCATTCTTGCACTGCTATAAATACCAGAAACTGTGTAATTCATGAAGAAAAGAGGTTTAACTGGCTCATGCTTCTGAGGCTGTACAGGAAGCATGGTGGCACTTTTTCTAGGGAGGCCTCAGGAGGCTACAATCAGGGTGGAAGGCAAAGGAGGAGAGGCACGTTGCAGGGTGAGCAAGCAAGCGCCTGGGGGCAGTGCCACATGCTTTCAGCCAACCAGATCTTGTGAGAACTCACCCACCACAGCAAAGACAGCACCAGCCATGAGGGATCTGCCCCCATGATCCAAAGATCGGCTGCCAGGCCCCACCTCCAGCACTGGGGATTATAATTCAACATGAGATTCGGGCAGGGACACAGTGTGGTGATCCTCCCACCTCAGCTTCTCAGCAGCTGAGACTACAGGTGTACACCACCATGCCCAGCTAAATTTTTGTGGAGATGGGGTCTTGCCGTGTCACCCAGGCTGGTCTCAAACTCTTGGGCTTAGGCGATCAGGCTGCCTTCAGCTTCCTGCACCTCCCTACCTCACATCCTGTCCTCAGTGTGGGCCAGTTGCCTAGGGAGGAGGTACACTCATGAGGCAGTGTGTATCTCTGGAAGCACAGCTCTAGCGTTGCCGGTCGGTGTGGGCATGGCCATGAGCAAGGGGGAAGTGAGCTGGGCAGCAAGAGGACACAGGTGTTTGACCCAACTGCCAAGGAACTGGAGTTTCTCCTTCACCAACGCTGTGACGACTCTTTATTCCCTATTGAATGCAGTTCTGCCTTCTGACCCTGGACTCCAGGTTCCTCCATCATCTGGCTCTAGGTGATCTCCCTGGAAATGGGTGTGATTACTCACTTCACAGGGCTGCTAGGACGACTGAGTTCATGTTTATAAAGGGCTGAGTACAGGGCTTGCCAATGAGTCACACTGTGCCGCATAACCCTAAGCAACACATAAATCAAGCCAATACTGGGCACTGTGGCACACAGACACCCCTGCCTTCAGAACCCACTCGGTTTTCCTGCCCTTTCTCCTTGGCCCCCTCCTGCCTCACAGGCTTCTCATGCCCTGAACCCTCCCACGGGTGCAGCTCACTCTGCCCTGAGTTTTTCCCAAACTGCCTCCTCCCTCCCGTTGCTGAGATGCCTGGTGTGTGGCTGATGTAGTACATCTGGCGCTGAGCTCTGCCCACCCGCACAGATGACTGGAGATCCAGGCCTGGAGTCTCCCTGAGTTCTGGGCAGGTTTCCTCTGGTCTTGCTTCTCTCCAACTTGAAGAGTCCTCAGCTTTTCTGGCCCATTTCTTTTCCTGGGCTGACAAAGTTTACTGTTGTCTTCTTCAGCACTGTTTGTCACTTCTCAAGACAGCAATGAAGGCAGGTAAAGCACAGGGCCACCAGCTTTGCTGCCATTTCTCCTTGACGCCAATGGGGACCAACAGGGACCAGCATGGCACCAGCACAGGATCAACACAGAATTAACATATGACCAGCACAGGATCAACATAGGATCAACATGGGACCAGCATGTGATCAACACAGGACCAACATGGGACCAGTACAGGATTGACATGGGATCAGCATGGGACCAACATGTAATCAACACAGGACCAACACGGAATCAACACAGGACCAACACGGAATCAACACAGGACCAACATGGGACCAGCACGGGACCAGCAAAGGATCAAAGTTAACATGTGACCAGCACAGGATCAACAGAGGACCAGCATGGGACCAACATGTGACCAACACAGGACCAACATGAGACCAGTACAGGATCAACATGGAACCAGCATGGGACCAGCACGTGATCAACACAGGACCAACATAGGACCAACATGTGATCAACACAGGACCAACATAAGACCAGTACAGGATTGACATGGGACCAGCATGGGACCAACATGTGATCAACACAGGACCAACACGGGACCAGTATAGGATCAACATGGGACCAGCATGGAACCAACATGTGATCAACACAGGACCAACATATGATCAACACAGGACCAGCACAGGATCAAGAGTTAACATGTGACCAGCACAGGATCAACACAGGACCAACATAGGACCAACCTGTGAYCAACACAGGACCAATGTGGGACCAGTACAGGATCAACAAGGTTAACATGTGACCAGCACATGATAAACACAGGACCAGCATGGGACCAACATGTGATCAACACAGGACCAGCATAGGACCAACATGTGATCAACACAGGACCAACATGTGATCAACACAGGACCAACATGGGACCAGCACAGGGTCAACATGGGACCAACATGTGATCAACACACGACCAACATGGGACCAGCATGTGATCAGCACTGGACCAACATGGGACCAGTACAGGATCAACATGGGACCAGCATGGGACCAACATGTGATCAACACAGGACCAACATGGGACCAGCACAGGATCAACAGTTAACATGTGACCAGCACAGGATCAACACAGGACAAACGTGATCAACACAGGATCAACATGGGATCAACCTGGGACCGGCATGGGATCAACCTGGGACTAATATGAGACCAATGTGGGACCAAAACAGGACCAACATGGGCCCTGCACGGGGACAACACAGGACCTGCGTGGGACCCTGCCATGCTCTGCATTTGCTTTTGTGTTTCCAGATGGCACTGTGGTCCCAGCTATTCAGGCAGAACAGGAGCATTCTCATAACGGTCTTTCAGGACCCAGCTTATGCCCACAGCCCAACGCTCTCACCCGCTGGGGCCAGCACACAATGCGGATCCAAACTACATGAACTCCGTGAGAAAGGACGAAGCCTGCCTACTGCTGCACGGGTGGCTATGTTTTTCAGTGCTGAGGAAAGTGGCAAATGCCACATATCAAGTATACGGGCAATGAGGAACACAGCAGGAGAAATGCACTTACCTTTCTAATCGGAGAAGGAGAGAGATCCACGTCCATCGACTCCACTCTGTTAAAACACATAGTGAAATGCTCTGAGAGCCCAGGACTCACCTTTAACACCACCAGTGTAAACACACATGACAAGACGATGTGTAAGTGTCTAACTCTTGCTCTAGCTTTGTGCCACAGTCAGAGCTTAGTCAAGTAAGCATCTGATCACTGTCCTTTCCCTCCCTCTTAGGGCCACCCACCATCTGTACTGGGAAGCAGCCATTCCAGGACACAGAGGCCGCTGGCCGGCCCGCGCTGGCTGAGGTCTCCCTGGCGTGCCTCTCCTGTGCTTCTGCACACTCGGCTTCTCACTCCAGACCACCCCTTCTCTTCTCTCTGCCAGCACTTGCTGGAGCCTGCAGGACTAGGACCTCCTGAGAGTGGGATACCAGATCGACTTCTGTTATCACTCACTGCCTGGCTGCACATACCACACCAGGCACGCACAATACGCTTGAGTTCCTGCATTTGCCAAAGGGAGACAGGAAAACCTCATTTGATTCATTTTGAGCCCTCCCCTGGCCCTGCCATCCTTACAGCTTGTGGTCTCTGTGGAAAGAGACTCACTCTTTGCCAACAGCTCCAGCAAGAGTCCCAGGGATGACTCCCATTACTTCAGCTTGGCTGGAGTGAATTTTTATAATTTTAGGTGGCCTCAGCATCCATTCTGAATACAGGTTTAACTTTTTATCTTTTTTTTTTTTTTTTGAGACAGTCTCACTCTGTTGCCCAGGCCGGAATGCAATGGCGCGATCTTGGCTCACTGCAACCTCCACCTCCCGGGTTCAAGTGATTCTCATGCCTCAGCCTCCCGAGTAGCTGAGATTATATTCTCGTGCCTCAGCCTCCCGAGTAGCTGGGATTATAGGCACTGGCCATCAGGCCCAGCTAATTTTTGTATTTTTAGTAGAGACGGAGTTTTACTATGTTGACCAGGATGGTCGCAAACTCCTGACCTCAGGTGATCCACCCGCCTCAGCCTCCCAAAGTGCTGGGATTACAGGCGTGAGCCATTGTGCCTGGCCAGGTTTAACTTTCTCACAGCAGACGCAGGGCTCAGTCACCTTTAACAGGTTCCAGTTCTCCACCTGCTCCCAGTGCCTCATCATGGTCCATCCAGACACTTGGCTTCCCCCACTGCCTCCTGGTGGCCACCTCCCTGTGGGAGACTGGACACAACCCACTTGGCTGGCCCCGCTGACCCCTCACCCTGCATAGACCATGCAGATATGCACAGTGACACCCTCTCAGTCACAGTGGGACCCAATGGAGCTTGTGCCTGCCTGCTCTAAACCCACCAATTAAAGCTCCCCATGGCAAACCTGCCTGGATGATGCCCTGAGCCCCCGTAAAGCGTTGCTGGCCCATGGGGCCACCCCTCTCTGCCTGACCCTTCATTCCTGCCTCTTGCTACCTGTGGTCAGAGCACTGTCCTCCCCAGGCATGGTGCCTTCCCTGTCAGGGACCTGTAAGTAACAAATCTGAATGTGTTTCCTAACACAGGGGTGGACTAAATTTGTGCTTCCATCTGAAGAGCTAGGAGCTACCCCTGGCTGGGTTTTTGCTGGGACACTGGAGGGAACATGAGGTTGGGCTCCCTGTGCCACAGCGATGGCCAGGCAGGCATGGCCTGGACATAGGGCAGACACAAGCCATGGGCATCTGTCAGTATAGACAAGATTCCTGTGTGAGGGGCCCCCGGCCATGGGTTTGGTAACTGGGGTTCAGGCCATCCACCAGATGAAAGAAGGTCCCATGAAAGGCACTATGTCAGTCCCCTTCATTTCCTGTTAGGGCAGGGCTGCCAGCTGCTGGGTCACTGGGACCCTAGCTTAGCTGGGGGCACTCAGACCACTGGGTCACACGGTCACTCCCAAACCAATCACTGTGTCTGCAGGGGTGGAGTGCTCTGATTGGCCAGCCTGGATCACACACTTGGTTTGGGACCTGAGCCTCACCGGGACAGGAAATAAGTACCAAAGTGAGCTGGACTCCAGTCAATCGTCTGGATTAGAAAAATCCGGGGGCTTGGCGAGGGGATGGGGTTGGGATGGGAGGAGAGATGCGGAAGCATCCACAGAAAAGAACTGCGGGTGCTGTGATTTCTGCAGGCTCCTGCGCCTCCCACCCGACCCACACACCTGTCGGGCTTTGAGGAGTGCGGTGGCAGCAGCAGGCATCCATGTGGTTTTGCTGGAAGAGCGATGACGGAAATCCTAACGTCAGTGCACACAGTGCGATTCAGCAACCTGCATCTCTTTATTTGTTTCTCTTTCTGGCATTATTTTACTTACTTGAAACTGAATTTGTTATTGTGCTGAAAGCTGTTTGTTGTGATGATCTCATACTAAATAGATGGAGAAAAGGTATTGAATTAAACCATAAAAACTAACTTCCCCCTAAGTCATTCAACTGAACGTATAAGAAGGCTCTGAATCAGTGAAATGTTCTTATTGGGTGTGCAAAGGGCATTTCACATGAATTCAACAGTTCCCAAAGTGTCCTGTGAGGCCCCGCTCTCCCCAGCGCTAAAGCAAAGTGAAATCAACACCCACTACCATTTACATCACGGGCTCTTGCAACTGCAATTGTCGCTGAGCAAATGGCCACTGCTGGTGTAAAGCTATGAAATGAAGACCTGACAACAGGAGCCAGCAACGCACCAGCTTTTCGAGGCCAGTAAGAGGCCAGGCATGGTGCCCATGTCCATCATCCCAGCACTTTTGGAGGCAGGGCTGGGAGGACTGCCTGAGCCCAGGAGTTGAAGAGTGCAGTGAGCCGTGATTACACTACTGCACTCCTGCTTGGGCGACACAGCAAGAACCCATCTCAAAAAAGAAAAAGAGGAAAGGGAAGGGAAAGAAAGAAGAAAATAAAGAAAAACAGGCCAGCAAGATAAATACAGACAAGTTACTTGGTCATGCTTTCCTGTCTAGCAGCCCTGGCTGATCTCCATGATGGCCAGTAACAGAGATGGCCTGCTGTGTCCTGTGACTCTGGCCACAGAAGGAAGCCACACCTGGGTCCTCTCTGCCTCATGGGGCCTGGTGGACATGCTGAGATACACGTGCAAGACCGGGGGAGTGTGTCTGTTTCCGCAGACACACTGAGGTACAGGACTGCAGATGAGCAGCGGGGCTGTCTCCTGGCACCCTGAGTGCCCGTCTATGCTGGCCGGGCTTTTGAGATATGAAGTCTGCCCTCAGCAACTGGGACCAAACTAGCTAGAAATAGGCAGCTGTGCAACAGCTGAACCACTTGGGCCTCCACTCTGCAGTCACCTCCTAGAGCCCGCCGTGGCACTGCCCCTCAATCTCCTCACTGAGTCACTTACCCCGGCAGCCTGTGTCCCAGCCTGATCTATAGGTTCACTTTCTACCTCCTCTCTCCCAAACAGAAGCTCCCAGAGGATGGGCCCTTGGCTTGTTTGGCTTACTCCGAATTGCCAGCACCCAGAAGAGCGCTGATGTGCCTGGTGCTCAGAGAAGACTGGCTGCTGCGAGGTGGACCATGGTGGGTGTAAGGGACTGAGTCTCTGCATCTGGCAGGGCTGTGGTGGGTGGAAGTACCTGAGTCTCTGTGTCTGGCAGGACTGTGGTGGCTGTAGGGGACTGAGTCTCTGTGTCTGGCAGGGCTGTGGTGGGTGGAAGTACCTGAGTCTCTGTGTCTGGCAGGGCTGTGATGGGTGTAAGGGACTGAGTCTCTGCATCTGGCAGGGTTGTGGTGGGTATAAGGGACTGAGTCTCCGTGTCTGGCCGGGCTGTGATGGGTGTAAGG